TAAATGCTAGAACTTACTAAAAGCCATTTTTAAATGTAATAACATAATATGGATAGCTGACATAACTTTTGTCTTGAGAGAAAAATTACCATAGTTGGAAAGGGTTATCAAATAAGCAGGCAATTGTGGGGACCTAAAGGCCCCACCTTGCAGAAGTCTGAGAGGAAGTTACTGGGGCGCGGCCTGACTTGCTTTGAAAGTCTGAAGAATACTTCCACACTGCTGAGTAGTGCATGATCAGCGTGTGACCATCCTTAAGATACACCCTCAGGGGAGGGGGGATTTCCAGGTGCCTTTATAAGCTCTGTAACACCTGCAATAAATGAGTCCCTGCTTTGCTAGGCTCCCCATTGCATCTGATTGTCCCCGGTACTGGGGGCGGCGTGGGCTGGCGAACGGTGTGCTTACTCATCCCCAATCATCACTGCGTGGGGGCCGCTGATACGAACCCTCCGCAACTGGCGCCCAGTGTGGTGCTCAAAGGAAGGTGAAAAGAAGAAAAGGAAGAAAGAAGGAAAACAGATTGGGGCCAATTGAGAAGTTTGGGGTAAGCGAGACCTGGAAAGATGGGTAACGCAACTCTTAAGCCTGAGGACCCAGCCCTTAAAGCGCTGAGAGATATGCTTAAAAGCAGGGGATTGGATCTGTCAGATCCAGTAGCTCAAAAGGTTTGGGCAGAGGCTGTTCATTTGGCTCCCTGGCTACTTGGGGCTAATGTTTTTACTGGGGATACACAAATGGAGGTTCAATTGGGGATTGATCCACCACTGGGGTTTTATCCTACTATCTTAGCCTTAAAGGCATGCTTTCGGCCCAAGAGCCCTAAGCCCTTGGTGCCACCTCCTGACGAGCCTTCAGAAACCCCGGCATGGGAATCATGGGAAGGGTTTGAGGAAGAAGGCAGAAATGCAACAGAAGTGAATCCAAAAGCAGCCAAAGTACCAAGCAGCACCTTGGGCGTGCCCTGGCCAGCTTCAGGGCTTCCTGAAACCCATGAAAGCCGTCCCCATTTTCAGGATCCTGGCCCCGCTCAGAAGGCTTCTGTGAGGCCATGGGTGGAGCGTACTGTACTAATGCAAACCCAGGAGGCACTCGCCCTGACCCCTGGTATCCCTGGGAGGTGAAGGATTTAAAGGAATTAAAAAAGTAGGTGGCTGAGAATGGCCCAGGATCACCCTGGGTAGAAACTCTCCTCCAAGGCTTGGCTCATCAGCAGTGTACTACAAAGGATTGGCTGGACCTTGCCAAAGCAGTCCTTCCTAGCCCTATATATATATATATATATATTAAATGGTGTGCCCTCTTTAAGGAGGAATGCAGGATACAGGTTGAGAGGAATGCAAGTGCCAACCAACCGTTCCCCATTACTTTTGGGACCTTAACTGGTTCAAGTGACCGTTATGCCACAGGGGAGTAACAGTTGGGCATTCCAGGCCCATATACAGAACAGGTCAGGGTCACAGGATTAAATGCTTGGAGAAAATTGGATGAGGGACCTACCGAGTCCCCCCTTGCAGGGATAAATCGAAAGCCTGGTGAACCCCTCTACAAGTTTATAGACAGAGTAGAGAAGAGCTTAAAATGAAAATTACCCCCAGGCCCATTGAGGGAGCAATTCACTAAACTCCTGGTATGGGATGGAATGGATGCTGATCATAAGATAGCCTGTGCTGGCCTTAAGGACAGGTCCATGGGACAATGGATAATTGCCTCCAAGGAGGTGGGAACCCAGAGGGGGCAAACCAAAGCCATGGCTGCTGTCTTACAGATGCAAACAGAGGCTCTGACCCATGCCCTAACCCAGGCATTTAATTCACTTAATCCGGGACAGCAGGTAACAATGGTGCCTAGAGGAATAGAAGGCCCATGTTTTGGCTATGGCCAGACTGGTCATATTAAAAGAAACTGTCCTCAGCAAGAGAACCGGCCTAAGCCTGGAGGTGGGGTATCAAAAAGACCCCCATCTATGCCCTGTCTCTGTTGTCGCAAAGGGTTCCATTGGCAGAAGGATTGTAAATCCAGATTTGATATTGAAGGAAAGCCTTTAAACTAAGTTGGGGGCAGCCTCCAGCCCTGTTGACAAAAGGAGGACTTCCCCATGATTGGCTATATTTACAATGCCCTTGGGGAGGGATCGGGAGAGGAGAAAAACCTATGGCGAATTGGACAATCCCTATTATCCCTGGGGTAAGGCCCAAGATGGATCTTGAAATAGATGGCAGGAGGTTTCGCTGCCTAGTGTACACAGGGGCTGATAAGACCATTCTTAGAAAGGAGAAGGTCCCATCATGATGGCACCTAGTTTCTGGGCCCTGAATCCTAGGTGTGGAAGGATACACTCCATCAGAGGAGACTCGAGAATGGCTCACCTGGCAGGATGCAGATGGAGCTAAAAGGGAGGTGCGATCCCTGGTGGTGGCAGGGTTATCTGCCAAACTCATAGGACAAGATATTTTGGGGGATGCACAGGCCTGCATAACCACTGATAACAAGGCCTTTTATGATGACCTTTTGGACCCTGAAGAGTCTGATAGGCTTCCCGAGACAGCAACTCAGGAGTTGTCTCGCCATATCAATTACAGGGGGGACCCAAAGAAAGAGCATCGGGCTCACCCCCAATTCTAAGGGCCACTGCCCCTCAGGTTCTGGCTATTCAGTGGTCCCCTGGGGCGCCGGTATGGGTGGAGCAGTGGCAATTGCCTGAGACAAAGCTACAGGCCTTAAAGGAAATTGTGCAGGAACAATTATGGTTGGGCTACATCCGGCCTTCTATAAGTCCATGGAACACACATGTCTTTGTTATTAAGATAGCCTCTGGCAAATGGAGAATGTTGCAAGACTTGCAAAAAGTCAATACTAGAATGACCCTAGTGGGTACACCCTTAAGGGTTCCTGTTATTCCCTCAGATTTATTTCTTATAGTTATAGACATTAAAGATTAGCCCAGCATTCTGCCAAAGCTATGTGAAGACCCTTTTGGGGCCCTGCTCACTTGCTGCCACATGCCACTGTGTATGTTTATATGGATGATATGATCTTGGGAGCTCCAAGCCCCCAACAATTAGAAGAGTTATATAAGGTTACTCAGAAATGTCCATAGACAGGCAGACTCCATGTATCTGCTGATAAAATACAGACTATTGCTCCCTTTAAAATTCTGGGAACCACACTCTCTTTGGAAGGAGTAAGTCCTTTAAAACCACAACTGGCTGTCAAGCCCACTGTAACCCTGACAGAGCTACAAAAATTATTAAGAGAAATTAATTGGCTATAGCCTGGATGCCTATTCCCACTGAGACTTTAAGACCACTGTTTCAGTTGCTAGTAGGGAGCCTTCAGAACTAATTCACCTGACTCCTCAACACCTGGGCATCTTACATGAGGTTCAGGATGTCCTGGACCAAGCCCAACTTGCCTGGTAAAGATCTTGAGTTATGGGTACTCTCCGGTGAGACCCTGACATTCGTCCTTATGCAGGATGGAAAGCCCCTTCAGTGGGTGCATGCCTCTCTGGGAGGCATACCGCGGGTTTATACACCCATGGATCAATTGGCTGACCTGATTGAGAAAGGACGTGATGTAGCTCTAAGACATTATGGCATAGACCCTCTTAAAATAGTTATCTCCTATTGGCTTAGGGATTTTGAATGGCTCTGCAGAAATAATAACCGAGTGCCCATAGACTTGGAAGGGTTCCTGGGAAATTTGGACTGTCATTATGGCCCTCATAAATGGGTGACCTCCTTTCACGCCCTCTGTTGGGACGCTCCCTGGCTCTTTGTCAGGGAGCCCTTAGTAAAAGCCTACAATGTTTTAATTGACGGAGACAGATTTAGAGCTGCAGTGGTAGTATACCCGGGGGCAGATGAAAACCCAAAAAGATATGCCCACACTTGTGATGGCTCAGCTCAATTCAAGGAACAAATGGCCATTGCTTTAGCATTAACAAAGATAAGTGAGCCCATGAATTTGTTTTCTGACAGTCTGTATGTAGTCAATCTTCTTCCAGGGCTATTAGGTTCTCATGTCTGGTTGGATGGGAACCCCATTACTCCCTTAATGATTCAGACTTGTACGCTCCTTAAAGAGAGAGAAGCCCCTATCTTCTTACAGCATCTTAGGGGGCACCAAGGATTG